TATTTAGGCCCCTACATTAAACCTTAGATCTGAAGCCCTCACTCACTCAAGGCCCTTGCGCAGCAGCGACCATGGTAAGACCTCTCGCGCAGAGAGCGGAAGCCAACTAGTGGAACCCCATTCTTTGGGTGACGTCTGTGGTCGAATATGGTACAATACTCAGCCCTGAACCACAAACTCCGCCCGGATTGAAATCACCTTCCGCTATGAGGTGGCATCTAGGTTTATGTCTACGTTTTTTCGTGTCTTCACCTAAGTCAATGAATCGTTCTTCCAGGTCATTTCGCGTCACTCTTGTGGGTGTCGGTAAGTAAGACGATTGACCAGCCCGGATGTTCCCATAGTCTGCACAGGTGCGGATCATGTCGTCCTGGTGTTGCTCCTAGTTGTCTGACTATGCGAAACGAAGGTTACCGCTTCATGCATCCTAAGATTTCGACCTCAGGTTAGATCTTGTTTCAGGTTTTCCGGCTTGGGGTGAGGAAGCCGTTATACGGCCTTGGTCTCAGGTTTCTCCCTAACCGGGACGTGCCGCAAACTGGGTTCGATTGCGTGCATACACATCTAATGGAATTTCGCTGTCCACTGGCCGTAGTCGGCACATGACTCGAAGGCATACTCATGGAGTGACTTCTGCCTGTCAGGAACGAGGAAGGCCGAGAAGCCCTACATCCTAACACGAACATCCCGCATCCCTAACATCCGTAAACAGCGAACCCTGAACCTTTGAACCCTAAAACCCTTAGCGCCCTAAGTGGAACCGCAGTGTCGGCCTCAACCTCCGTGTTGCTCACACGGCAGACCTGCATGGACGGGAATTTCTCTTTACCGCCTAGGTTGGGATCCTTAACAGAGACCTCAAGAACCGTAATGTAAACTCGAGGATAGGCCTTAGTGGAATGTCTCGGCGACTCGGTGGGGGGAATTCCGGCCCATCACCGCTTTGGATGGAACCGTTGCAAGGTCAAGCTTGGGGCTTCGCCACCGAGGAAATGTTTAGGCTACAGGTTTTGGGGTGCCGACCCAGACAAGGACCCAGATTTCAAAAACAAAACAGGGCTGAAATACATCCGACGCCTTTACCCCTCTGAGGATAAACCCTGAACCATTGGAAACTTAAACTGCAAGCCCTTTAACGCAGCTAAGGTGTTCCACAACTGCTTCACCTACACGTAGGCTTCCGTAATTTGAGATTCGCTCCCCGAGGCCATATCATCTGCAGCTGTTGATGTGGATGTGGGATATTCAGCTTTCGGCGCTGCATTGAAGTGCTGTCTAGACCTATGTCGGCATGGCTGCAGACTTGTTTTTAGGCGGGTGAAACAACTAACCACAAATGAGGCAGCTGGCGACCAACCCCCGGAAGCCGATTCTTCTAGAAGCCTGTGATGTAGGGGCCGAAATAATTAGAATANNGAATAGGGCCTTGGGGTCCATTATACTATACTTGGAACTCCCAGAATAACATTATGACTGATCAGCAGAGTTCAATCGCGAACTCCAGCACTAAACTACACTTGCTCAAAGACTGACCTTCGACCTAAGCCCCACTTGAAACACTGTTTTCAGGTTCCCAAGGTATATTATTATACTATACTATAGCTATACGAGGAGCACGAAAGAACATCATTAAACATTTAGACGACTTCGACTCCTCTACTACTCCACTGCTATCTTCGCCCGACGGCGAGGCTGGAGAGGCGACCTCACGAGGCACGGAGAACCGTCGTTGCGCGCGGCCCTGAAGGTAGCACCTGTTACCTTACTGTAGGGGCCTTGTTATGTAAAATTAGAATAGGGTTTTGGGGTA